TAAGAGCTCATGTGAACACAACACAGCAAGAAATCGGAGAACAACGAAATTATATGTATGCATGTATAACGAAACTGGCAGTCTCGACGAAAGACATTACTAGTACTCATATGCTTCACTACGTTATTGAATCTGCCAAATTCATTAATTTTATTTTATGCCCAAAAGTGTAATAAATAAGAAAAACTGGAAAATTCCTGGCGTTAAATAAAAAAAAAAACCTCTTTCTACACATACAGTTTTCTTAAGCTTTCGACTGCATGTCTACCTCTGGAATTACAAAATAAACAAAAAAAAAACAGTAATTAAATTGTGCAATGAAGGCATTAAGCAAAGCGAAATTCAATTCATTTCCTAAATAACTACAAAAAGTACATATCTTAACATATGCACCTAACTACTTGCCGATTCATAAAGTAAAGTAGCAAACAAGAAATTTTGTAGACAACGAAAACCAGCAGAGAAACAAGCAACTTGCACAAAAGTTTGCACATCATTGCCGAAATATGTACAAAGCAGCAGCAAATGCAAGCGCAGGCAGGCACGCAGGCACGCAGGCAGGCAGACGAGCAAGCCAAGGTGGTAAACGCAGTGGCGAGTCAACGAAGCATTAAATGCAAATTGGAAAACAGAAACACCAGCAAAAAGCGAACACTGAATGGGAAATCGTTACCGACTATTACAAACACTTCTGCGAGCATATGAATGAATAACAGCAACAACAACAATAACACACATCAATCGCTTGGCAAATATACGAAGTCGGTCGGCAAAGTGCATATGAAAATAGACTAGGAACTACATTACTCTATTCCACACTTCCTTGCTCATATTAGTGGCACATTCATAGCCATTGGTTAGCAATAGATCGTTGGTTGGGAGCGACGTTTTTCGGCGCCAAAATATGCACAAAGCGTTTTTTTGTAGTTACTTGCAGCAATATGAGAGTGTTACAAAAGCAAAATCGCAAACCATTACCTGCCTCAAGAGCTGCGTCATTGAAGTGGGAGTGAGCACGCGAGTTTGCACACGAGTGCCGCATACGCCCTGGTGCACCCACAATTAGGCAACGCAGTAGAGCAGGGTAGCGCAGACGCTAGTCGTAGCACAAAAACCCAAATTCAAGCGCTTTGCACACATTCACACATACATACATACTTGCCTACATGCAAAAGCATACACTCTAGCAACTACCCGCCCGCAATACCATCCATTCCAACGAACTACTGCCTTCGTTTTGTGGCACCATTATTGCCAGCAGATCACCATTGCATTGCACTGCGAATGACACTATCGGCGGCGGCTACACCGCATGTTTTATGAGTGTTTACGACAGTTTGCCAATTCGAGTTGCATTTCGGAATTGTTATGTGCGTATTTGCTGCTGATTGTGTTGCGAGGAGACGGTTAGGATTTGGTGCAATTGGCGTACAATACACCAGCAAATAACTGGCGAACAAGCGCACAAGCGAATTGTTATAGATACAAACATACATACATACATATGTGAAGCACACTAAAACTCGTTGCGTTGCGTCGCTTTTCAGCAGCTGCTGGCATATTTGCTCGCTACAATTGTGCTTGCCTCCCTCCAGTGCAATGACAGGGTTGTTGGGCTGCTGGCTGCTTGAAAGTGCTTTTTTAGTACTCGCTGCTACCCGTTGGAGTCGCTCCATTCGGACAACGTAATGAAGTGACTTAGTCGCAGGATTTACCGATGATTTGTGGTAATGATAAAATGGTAGGTACTTTGGTTTTATGTATTATACTTGTTTTACGATATGGGTGTGCATTTAAGAAGTCCAGCTCGAATGAAGCACTGCTCTGTTGTAAATAATCCGGAGCAATGTAATATATTAGCACCTGATTGGCTTTTAATTATGTTGTTAGTGGAAACCTGGGGGGAAATTCATGCGGATATGAGTGAGTAAGTTCAGCAGTATTGACCGTAAATTAACGGATATACGGCGGAAGGTGTTTCGAGCGCTGGCAACTCGGTCTTTTTATGTTGATATACATACGTACATACATACATGTATACTAGCATATACCCGGTGAAAGTCGATACATAATAACTACCACCCAAATTCAACAAAATTAAAATAAAGAAGACTTTAAACGCTTTAAAAATCGAAAATTTTTATTAAAATCACACTTTTCATGAATAAGGCCATACCAGTTTTGGATGTACTCTGTTTTTAGAGGCATTAACAACACAAAAATATGTACTTTGAAGGCGCAGCGAAGGACGTCGGGTATTTGATAACATTCTTCATAATTTTTTTTTTTATGTACGACTTTTAGATAGGTTGCAACTTCTTAAAAAGGTTGTCTAGTAAAGCTATTTTCCAACCTTTTCATTTGTCAGCAATCTTGTAATATTTCACTTAGTTTCATTATTTTTAGTTTTTACTATTTAGATGGGTGACAACTCCATTGCAAACATTTCTAAATCAACGATTTGTCAAATATCTTTAGTTTGATGCCCATATTTTTATATTTAATTTATCGTATCAATTAAATAAAATTATATTTTTAAACAGGTGGCAGCTCTTCATAAAAATGTTTTCGGCTTTAAGCCTTTTTAAACCTCGTTAGTTTGATATTCATATTGTAATATTCAAATTATCTTATCAATTTAGTCAATTTAAATTTTTCAAACAGGTGGCAGCCCACCTCAAAAATAATTTCGGTGGGCCATTTCAACCCACTTTAGTTTAATACCTATGATACCTATAATATGTATAATATTTAGTCTATCTTATCAATTTAATTTTTGAAAGAGATGGCAACCCTCCTCAAAGATATTTTCGGCTGGCTTGCTTTATGACTGTAAATTCAGTCTGAAAGTTGGCTTCCTACTCTGTTTCATGCCATCAATTAAAATTATGGTAAATCCTGGATCCAGGTCTTAAAGGGGTTTCTCATCCTTTTGCGAAGTGTTTAAGACGAGGCGTTACAAATGGTGGGCAGTTAAAGAGAAAGTATTGATATGATGTCAACTCGTCGTCGTCCAAACAGCTGGCACAATGAGGATTAGGTGTGGTTTTTTGTTTCACCGCGAGAACTTCAGAAAGAGAGCTTCGAATTTGACAGCCCAAGGAGATCTCTTGGCAGCCTCCTGTGTAATATCGCCCAGAAATACCTGGTAGTAGAAAATGCCCTGGTTTGGGACCAGCATTCGCTAATCTGTCAGTAGGCACATCTGTCTAAGATAAGTCTGCATCCGTGATGTGCACCGCCTTGCCCGTGGCCAAAGCTCTTTTAAGCTTTATATGCATTTGGTAGTCAAAATTACCCCCTCCACGCATTTTCCTGCGATTTGACTGTAGCCTGCGCGATATGAAATTTTTTTTTTATTACTCTGATCCAAAAACCCGAAAGCTATGTATATGTATATCAGAATGAAATCAGCCTCCATTGCCAGGCAAAAAAACATTTTGTTGGTGGAAGTATCATATGCACGTATTCTTAAATTTAAATGCATCTACATACATACATACATGCACACATAAATACATATATTCATGCATCCTCCGATATTTACACAACTGTCTGCCAATCTTTAGAAGGCAACAGCCAACAGCCAAGAGCCATCAGCCAACTACTGACAATATTCAACCACCCATACTACTGTGTGCAGTTGAAAAGCAGTCTTAACGCGAATAAGCTGAGTAAATGTTTTACTTTTTAATTAAATTACTTTGCTTGCGAAAACTTTTGCAAAACTTCTTACTATTTCCGAGCAGTTCTGTCAACTGTCATTATGTAATGATCTTTTTATTGTAACTACATGTAGTTATAAGGGTTTTATTTTTGTTTTATTCAAAGTTTTGCTACATTTGCTTTGATCAAAGTTGGTACATACATTAGTGTGGTTCAACAAAAAAAAATTTTGGTACCAAAAAAGTGTGGTATTTCCACCGAAATTATATAATTCATTATATTCTAAGAATACCGCCACGATATATCGGAAGGGTATAAATATTTACGTGAGCTAAACCGATTTGAAAATACCTCCAAAAATCTAATTATTTTCATTCCGTTGATACAATTTTTGAACATTTTTAGGCAGAACTCTTTTATCTGTGGTGATTTTTTGTTAAAAATATTTTTGAAAACAAATTTTATTTGTCGAAAACTAGTTTTTTTGAGCTTTTTTCAAATGAGTCCAGTAAATATAAATCATAATGTTTTTCCGAAATATTTTGGCGGCAGTCTTAAAATATAATAAATTTTATAATGCCGATGGCATATTTTCTTTAGATTGGCGTTTACATAATGTGTTAGTGTTTGGCCGAGCTTCTCCTCCGATTTGTGGCGACCGCGTTGCTATTATTACACAAACGGGAGGTAGCTACAGTTTTACGCCGATTGTATTTTTATGAGAAGCTGTCTTTCATGGCAGAAATACACTCGGAGGTTTGCCATTGCCTGCCGCGGGGCGACCACTGTTAAGAAAAACCCTTTTTTTCAAAGTTTTTTTGCGGTGTTGCTTTGACAAAGGCTTGAACCCAGCCCCTGCGGAGTGTTAGCGCGCACCAACCAACTTTTTTTTTTGTGTATGGAGAGTGTGGCACCCTGATGCACATTATATATGTATGAATTTGTATGTACAAATTTATAAGCGGCTAAATGGTAAAAATTCGTAAACGTAGTCGTTTCATTTAACGGTGACAATGGTTATGTCAATTTAAAATTTGAAATGAGTTTACGATGCTCACAGCAAATAAAGGAACTATTAGCTGTCGTTGGCATTGCTCAGCTGCACAGCTACAAACTTGTCTGTTTGTATTGTTAGCTTTTTCATGTGTATTTGCAAAGGTTTTTATGAACTTTGTGAAAACTTTATTATTAATTCCTCTTTTGAGGATACATTGAAGGTTTTGCTACGCTTAATTATGGTATTTTATCTAAATTTTTTTTTTAACGTAAATACTCCCAAGGCAGTGTTTAGAAAATAAATAGACCACGTTGTCGATTAATACAAATTTACTCACCATCGGGCAACTCATAGAGTTTTCTCGGCAACGGCGCAAAGTATGGATGTTGCAGCGCCTCTTCAGCTCCTATTCTTTCCTCTGGATTTAATTGCAGGAAGGCATTCGCTATCGTCTCACCATCAACGATGTCATAGAGTCTAGGAAAATTGTGACCTAATTTGCGGGGTCGATAAAAACCTACATTAGATGAAAGGTGCAAAAAAAAAACGATGAGTGACCAATAATAAAACCAGCAAAAAAATGCATTATACTAAAAATATTATTCATAAAGCTTCTGTGTTTCACAGAAATACAAATAGTGCTAGTGGTGCTGAAACACAACCTCACCAAACTATTTCCAATTTCCACTCTAAGCCACATCGAAGCCAATAAGACTTACCTAACTTATGCGGTTTATAACCAGGAAAATGTGTTACACCCGCCCATGTCTCCTCAGTGGGTGTGCCGAGTAATTTAAATATTTTATCCAGTTGATCATATGTATCACGTATACCGGGGAATGTGGGCATGCCAGTTACCATTTCCACAAATATACAACCGACGCCCCACATATCCAGCGATGTCGAGTATTCAGTGCTGCCGAGCAGAACATCTGTAAAGTTGAGAAAAAGTACAGTAAATAAATGCGAACCATGTTGTTTGAATATCCATTTAAAATGCATGAAAAAAGTTGTAATGACTTTCATAAATTCACTCGTATGATGTTTTGTTAGAGGCGAGTTAAATAATATTAAAACTTTCTAAGCTGCCATATTTGAAGATTAAAATTTAAAAGGCACAATTCGAAAATTCAACAATAAATATGTGCATATGTAGATTTGCGTGTAACTACTTATCAACGCTTGGATATGAAAAGCTTAACCGCTGACAGCTGCAATAACACAAGGCATTGCTCATGGCGCGAGTATTCGTACTAAGATTCGTAGCGAATGCTTTGCTAGTAAAGCGCTTTAAGCTTCATCGCATGCTGTGTGATTCAATAGCGGCTTATCGAACTGTAACTGACCTATGCACCGTAAATATTTACATACATATGTATATAAGCATATGTAAGTGCTTTTGCATGTAGTAAGCTAAAATGTGAGCAATGTTCAATGGACAACACAGCGTATGAGTCACCTGAAAGAATACATATACACAAGCCCGATAGGGGTATTCTCTTAGTCTTGCAAAACACTTGCGAGGTTTGCAAAGTTTTCCCATAGAAAAATCGGTTCTACCGTTGTTAATCTCAATTTGTTCGCTATCTCTTCTCTTGCCCGAGATCTAATCACTCGGGTCGTAAACTCGCTAATTCTATACACTTGGTCGGTAATGAATATTAAATCATTAAATATTAAAGAATGTGTGAAAGACATCCGCGACGTGCATATGTAATAATGTCGAACAAAAAAGTAGAAGAGCCTCTTAATGTGACAGAAACGTTGGAGGCCCTTGTCAAAGCATCTCTGGCAACACAGACTCATACCGAACAACGTCAGGTAGGCAAACACCTTAACTTCCACCTAACGCAAATCCTTTGTGGACATGGTTGCTGTAGAAATTTCTTAAGTATATAGATTCCAACAAAACATTGGTCCATACTGTCTGACTTGTTCCCAAGCCATAGCAGGTTCTGACAAACGATGAGAACAATTCTCATGAGAATAGGACTTCACCCTCATGAGAATGGATATTTACTCTCATCGTAGAGTAAATCTATATACTTTCATTACTAAGTAGACAGCGAGAATGAGAGTGAATTACTATTCCCATGAGAATTATCCGCATCGTTTACCAGAACCTTTACACGTTTCACATGTCATCGACTCCACGTCTAAGATGAGTCCGATTTTTTTTAATTTTTGTATGTTTATATTAAATTTTTTAGTGCAAAGTGCAGAAAAATTAGCAATTTTGAAGAAAACCGATTCTCCTGTTCCAGTTAATAAAAGTTACATAATAAAAACTAGTTGAAAACAATTATAGAGTTCTCCCAAAATGAAAAAATAAAATAAAAAGAAAATCTTAAATGTTATAAAAGTAATTTTACAAAATTATATATAATATATTAATAATTTTTGAAACCTCACGTATGTGGTTTTGCATTATCTTGATACGCGGTTTTGCATTTTGTCGATACGCGGTTTTGTATTTTAAATTTTTATATTTAAAATATTGCCAGAAAATATATTTGTTGTGATTAAAAGCTATCAATGCATTTCCAGTACAAAATGGAAGCATTCGAAATAAAAGGTGTTTTGATATTTAGCTCTAAGGTCTATACGGCTTTAGTTTTTTTTTTTTGTTGAAGGGCTACACAGGATGATAAACGGCACTGCAAATGGCGGTGGTCCTTTTATGCCTTTTTGGAATACCCAGTTTAGCGTTGAATATTACCTACAGCAATTAGGAGAGGTAACTTTACATAATTAAAGAAAGAAAACTAGAAAAGGAAATAGTGGCATGAAAACTTCATTATGCCATAAATCGATAAATTGCTTTTAGCAAGCATTAGGTATGAGCAACACGTTTTCTCTACCTTATATTTGTGACTTGGAGGCATGTACAGGAGCCAGGAAACTCCAGATATCCGGCTAGACTAACAAAGAGGAAATGGCTACGGCTACTCCTCCGAAAAACTGACCATATCCAACAGAGAAGCCTTTGCCAATACATAGTCATGCATACATACACACGCGCGTATATACCCCAGTGACTGCCAACTTAGTTTGCATTTTGTGTGCAAAAAAGCAGGGGGAAAAAAAATAAAACTGAAATTATAGGCGAATCGGAAAATAAATTAAGGCAGACAGGATATTGATTTGGACGCAGCAAAGTCAATTTTGATGGCTTTGTGCTGTAGACCTTTAACATGGCTTGAGTCAGCCGGTCAGTAATAACTTTTCCAACGACCTGATACAAGTAACCAAAGTTGAAAAAAGAACAACAAATAGTAAGCCAAACCTTGTACGAAGTTACATAAAGAAGACAAAAAGTTCAATAACAACAAATTGCAATATTCGCATTGCGACAGCCAGCCACAAAAGCCAAACTCTGCCAAATGAGTTCGATGGCAAAGCAATGAATGAGTTTCTTTCTACGGAGCATAGCATAAGGCAGAACAGAGTGGATAATCAAATAGAAAACTGAAAATTGAAAATTGGAAATTTTGTGGCTTCACAATAAACTAAAAAAAAAAAAACGAAAATACTAACAGTATATTTTCATTTGACCATATAATCACTTGTGCTTGTGCAGCCGATTACGTAGAGCAATTTCATTATTTTGCCATTTAAGCCTTAATGAGCACAAATTCTTCAAGCAACACAAATTATGTACATATACATACATACATACATAGCAACTTGGCCAAAAGACATTTAAATTACACAGTTTGCATTAAGTATTTGGTTTTCTGAATGAAAATTTAATATGCCTTCAAGTAATAGCCGCTTAAAAGTTGCTTACTTTGGTATGGGTTAATTTAATTTTCTTTTGCAAGATTTGCGGATTGTGCGCATAAAAATGATAAATTCTAGAAAAAAATTAATGAAAATTTAATCATTTTCAAGACTTGCGATGAGCTTGCAACAAAAAATTTAAGCCCAAAAGTTTTGGTATACAAAAGTTAACGCCTTAATCTTTCTTATGCAAAACTGATTGGTTCGCTTTAATTTCGGTAAGATTGTGTGTAGGAACCTAAAGAAACAGAAGGGCTGAATTATGAATAGATACATATGTACATATGTATGTATATGTGTATATGGGTTATATACAATAGAAAAGGCCGCTTGTTATAGACCAGCGCACAGAAAGATTCAAGAATTTTAATAGCCGCATATAAATTAGCATGAAAAGTAAATTGACAAATACAGATAAAGCAAGTTCAGCTAAGCGATAGGCAACATAAAGTAAATTCGCCATCAGCACAGTGCTGGTTACGAAAAAGTTCAGGAATAACGTATAAACATAAAGCCCGGTTCACTTGGATAGGTACACATTTTTTCCTCAAGATCAAAGCTTATATCTGGACTTGTGGGTATTGGAGAAGTTCTTTTCAATCTTAGCAATGATCAATTTCAAAGAAAAGTGATGAAAATGGAGCAAACACCACTTTTACTTTGGATTTTATTCCACGTTTTACCAAAATACACGAAAATAATGCTTATTATTTTGATTCACTTGAATAGGCACAGTGACTCTGACGCAAAGAAAGGGCCAATAAAAGCATACCATTCCTTTTAATTCCACTATATAACCCTTTTAGTATTGGATACTACATCCTTAATTCCAATGTATGGAAAAAACCCCTATCCGGAAGACAATTATAGAGGCGCTTTGAAAAATTAAGGACATTTCGCTGCTTACCACTTTAATCGCCGGAAAGAACAACTGTCAATCAACACATGGATTGTCTGACACGCAAAATTTACAAAAAAACCAATTCAAAATATTTTCCATTAAGTTTAGGTCCTGTGCATTGGACGAACGCTGAAAAAATTATGACTTTGCTTCGTTATCCTCGTGCGTATCGGTGCGTATCGGTGCGTAATTTTGCTAGCATATTTAAGAAGAAGATGTGGAAATATACGACAAATGTTAAAAAAACTGTCCTTAATACTTTTTTGCATGAATTATTCCTTTCAAAAATCGTGACAATTATTATTAAATCCGTAGAAGCCATCAAAATTTAATGTCTCGCCAGAGAAAACCACTATTTTCTAGTTGTCCTTCCTCCAGACATGCGAGTTGTACAAAATTCCAGTCGTGATTTTTTACGTTGTATAGTTAAATTGATTCCCAGTTTAGACATTTTCTGAGTGTATAGAGTAATCCGTAGTTCCTTTGCGGTGTCATCAACACCAACGTTTTTCTTTCATTTTGGTCCACTATCTCTACAATTAGCTGCTGACCTCGTAATGGACTTCTGCTATTTCCGTCTAGCTTTTGTGCTCTGGCTCCATTACATTCCTTTTTCATGCGATGCTGTGACCCAGCTTCAGCTGTCAAAAACATTTGCATTTACTTCAGTTTAATTTCCAACAGATCGCATGCAAAGTCCTGGATCCGTGAAACCCTCCATTTATGCATTCCTTGCAGTTGAAAGTGCGCCCGCTTCGTCCATTCTTGCTCTGTTATATACTTTAAATTCTTAGATATGTTTTAAGTGCAATTTTAATAACTTTGCTATACACACATACGGTCGGCCGCTGTGGTGTAGTGGTAAGCAGTGCGCGCTTCCACTCCGCAACGCCTGGGTTCAAGCCCTGGTCAAAGCAACATCGCAAAAAAATATAGAAAAAGGTTTTTCCTAAACAGCGGTCGTCCCTCGGCAGGCAATGGCAAACCTCCGAGAGTATTTCTGCCATGAAAAACAGCTTCTCAAAATATACAATCGCGGTTCGGACTAGGCGTAAAACTGTAGGTCCCCTCCGCTTTGTGTGACAACATCAAGGGGCACGCCACAAATTGGAGGAGAAGCTCGGCCAAATACTAGCATATGTGTAAGCGCCAATCTATTATTATTATTATTATTATATACACATATACGCATACGCATATTCAAGTGAATCAAAATAATAAGCATAATTTTCGGGTACTTTGATAAAA